TCTCCCAACCTTTCTGAATCCTCTTACTTCTGTATTCCTTAATTATTCAATTCCTTCTGCAACATATCCATCTGGGTAGACTATACCAGCACAGTGGTTCTCAGAATTTCAGCCTCTACCTTTGAATCAGCTCATTCCTTCTGTGTGGCTGCAGCATGAGCTTCCTGCATTAAAGTAGTATCTCTTAAAGTGTCAGCCTCTGTTCTCAGAATATCAACTTCTGCTTTTAAGATAGCCTATTCTCCTAAGGTATAGGTCTTTCCCCATTTTCCTCAACTAACTCCTGTACTTTTGTTTCTAAAACCATTGCTACCATTTGTAAACCAGCCTTTTTCTTTGGAGCTCCCATTGCCTACATAACTGCTCATATGCATTAGGTCCAATAAAAGCACCAGGCTTCCAGGGACCATTCCCATATGTTAAAACAAAATTCTCCAACCCTTTTCCTAATAGCATACCCTTAATAGTACTTGATTCTCCTTTCTTTGCTGTCATTTAGATGTTATTAGACACACATAGCAAGGTAATAATACTGGAGTCCTAAGTTCCCTAGTGTAACTCACAGACTATGGCAGGAACATAGATTGCGACCCTAGTTTCTACCTTCTTGCTTGTGGGATTGTGTCTATGGTCCTTCACCTCCCAGACCCACTGGTCTGTAATCCTATATCGTAAATCACAGACAAAGACGAATCTAGCTACTGAATGTACAAGAGAAAATGTTCACAGGACCACTAGAAGTCCCAACCACTATTTCTTGGTTGTCATGACCACTCGGGATAATTTAGCGGTCCTGACCACTATTTCTTGGCCGTCACGACCATGCAGAAAATAACCACTACTGTCTTGTGTCAATCGTCTTCTTTCCTTAAGCTCCTCCTGGCTGGCTTGCCAATTTTCTACCCCAAAAACAGCTCACCTATCACCAATCTATTCTCCTAAGGTACAGGTCTCCAGGGTGGCTAAGGAACTACCTGGAGGATATAGACATAGCCTTCCGATAAATGACGGACAGCTACAAGTAGTATTCTTTTCCAAAACAAGGCACCTTTTAATTGGTGCAAACAATCCCTAACACAGTAACAATATTAATGTGATAAAAACACAAATCTGTTATAACAAGTGAAAGAGCACCCCAAACCATATTGCCTTGCAGTTTGAAATTATCCAAAGTGGCTGCGCCCTGCTTCAGATGGACAGTCTGCTGTAGGTTCCTGACAGCAACTGATAACAGTTCTTTAGGTCATACATATAAACATTCCCTCCACAAACACACACACACACACACACACATCTTTATTACCACCGACAAAAGTACACACTAACACCATGCCATCCGACAGTATGACTATAACTTTAACTGACAAGCCTATTCTGTCTGATAACTTTGCTTCAGTCACAAGACTCCCTCTGCTGCTGCTGCCTTCTCATTTGCTTCTTTGCTACCATTCTCTTCTCTCCTCCCTATGCATCCCAGTCTATGTCTCTGCATTCCAGTGGCAGGACAGGGCTCCCTCTAGTGCTGCTTTCTGCTGCTGGTTCTTCTTTACTGTCAGTTCCTAACCCCCTCCGGCTTCTGCCCGCTGACACATGAACTTTTATACTATCAGAACTTTCTAGACACTTCTGCTACCGGTAATATTGGTCAGATCTTTCTTGGATGCATGCTAACATTCCAAACATTCCAAACTGTCAGTTCTATTTTTAGCCTGCAACCGTTGTTTTCTTCAGAGTTATAATTTGCTGACCTTTCCCCTACTTTGGTTTTCCCGCCAATTCTATTTTTAGTGCTATATGACCTACAGCTTGTAATGGCAGAGTGACTCATGCTTATTTAAAATGAAAGCCAGGGATACAAAATGGAGTCTGAGAAATTTCTCTGGTATCAGATGAGGGACTCCTCTCAGGTGGATTGAGAAGGCTCCGAAGGCGGATACTGGGGCCAACACTCCCAGTTTGGCCAACCAGGCAGATCTGGCGGTTGCTGCAGAGGGCCCCATGTAGCAGGATACCAAAGACTCCTGTGCTGAGGAAAGAGTATTGCCATTGAGACGGCAGGAACTTTCGATAGTCATCACGATGGTACAGGAGAGGTGGATTGTGCGTTCTGTCTGAGTCCTCCGATGCCAAGAAGTCAGAAACTTATTCGAATGGCAGTGCCATCTGAACCGTATAAGTTGTAGGGGAGTGGTCAGGAACATAACCCAAAAAAGGTAAGTCCAAAGCAGGAGAGGTGGATTCTCTTAGGGGGTGAGTGCACTGGGAGATGTGGAGACTTCACCTCTTTCAAGGCAAAGAGTTCATGAGGTCCGGGTGCTGACTTGAGACTCTCCATTGTCAGCAGCACATGCTCTGTAGTCAGAACCAAAGCCAGAACAAAGGATTGTCTTGGAACTGAAGGTTCCCTCAACTTTGGTGGTGCTGATCCGGAAGGCATAAGCGGAAGGGGTACAGCGGGTCCAGTGTTTTGTGCAACTTCGTGTCGTGTTTGTGAACCTTGGAACACGCTGCTTTTCCATGTCTGAAACTTGTAGAGGATGCAGTGTCCTTCTTGGGCCTTGAGGAAGACTTACCGTTATGCTTATGCAAAGGCTTTCTTGCATCACAACTAGACCACAGCACGGGGTCCATAGCACTGGTACCAGCGGAATTAGGCTGGAGCGCCATGGTAGAAGGCATTCTCTTCGATTGCTCAGACCAACGTACAGGGCAGGTTCCTCAGCCTGGATCTGACTGTGGCCTGACGGTGACCTCCATGAGATGCTTCTTGAGGTAGGGAGCCCAGCCTTCCTGTATATGGCTTGGGAAGGAGAAGCAGATACTGCACCTCGATGTGATGTGGGGCTTCCCCCAAGCAGTAAAGGTAGCGTTGGTGATTGTCACCACTGAGTGAGAACGAGCAAAGGCAGGAGGTGCAGATCTTGACCCTGTCGTCTTTGACATAATCTAATACCCGGGCATGCGTCCTGGGGGGGGTGGGGGGTGGAGTGAAGCGGGAGACCGACAAAATGGCATCCAAAGTCCTTAATTCCTAAAAACTGCTACTACTACTACAACACTAAAAATTACTACCAAAACAACAAAAATACTAACTATATACAAGGGTAAAAACAGTCTTGTTTCTGTATTTTTAGAAAACGTGTCACAAGACAGGAGAGAACAGTAGAGACTCTGACTTGGACCATGCGGTGGTGAGAAAGAATTGAGGGTGCCATTGGTCAGCCCCGCCCTTTATTGCCTTGGACGAAACCCTGAGGTGGAGCAAGGGGGTGTGCGCGGACGAACGGACACTACTATTTTCAAAATCTTCGGCTCCGGATGCATGCCGCATGCATATAACTAGACCCCTACTAAATTCATGGTCCATTTTGGTCAATTTAATGGTCGTAGGATTTTAAAAATTGTAAATTTCAAGATTTCAGATATTTAAATCTGAAATTTCATTGTGTTATAACTGTAGGGGTTGTGATCCAACTCTGAAAGCAGCGTCGCGGAAGTAAGGGTGGCATGGTATGCTATTCCCTCCCTTTCTTCTGCGCTGTTACTGGCAGCCGTGCGGTCTTCAGAGCTGGGCACCTGGCAGCAGCCACCACTCTCTGGACACCAGTTCTGAAGGCAGCGCAGAAGTAAGGGTGGCAATACCACCACCCCCAACCCTCTTTTGGGTCAGGACCCCCAATTTAAGAAATGCTGGTCTCCCTCGTGAAATCTGTATAGCATAGGGTAAAAGTACACAAAAGACCAGATTTCATGGTCCGTGACGTGTTTTTCATGGCTGTGAATTTGGGAGGGCCCTATGTATAACCTTAGTGGATACAATAGGGACCATCACTCAAAGAAGAAAGAGTAAATATAGTGCAAGCATCTGCCCAACATCCTCAAGTGTTGAAAAATGGCATGAAGAAATAATTTAGCTTCCGCACAAGGTCCTAATCCTCCTTAACAGATGTTTCCCTGTGCTATTCTTATTACTCTTTCTAATTGCCAAATCTCTTATTACTGTCTTGTTTGTCCACTACTGGCTTATCCATTGTGTCAAGGAGTAGTTGGTGAGAAGGGGTCTTTCTTTGTGGCTCAGCCTAATTTTGCATTCTTGGTTTCTCCCAGTGATCTGAACTGCTGTTTGTTGCTGGATGAAGTTGTCTAAGCCCTACTTTACACAAGTGCAGAGAAACTATATTAGGAGTTTGCACCAGTGTATACTATACTACACTATACCTCAGTGTAGTTACACTGGTGCTAATTTCCTTCAAGTAGACTGGTCCTTTAAATTTCACCATTAACATCTTTCATGCTTTCAGCTGTGAAGTAAGAAAAGGAAGTATATTATGAAGATTTGCACAATCTACTCTGAGCAGCATCTCATTTTGGCATTGTGGGTGGGTGGGCTTGGCAGAGAACTATCACTTATTTCCTCCCCTCTCCCCTTAATTAAGACCAAGGTCTCTAGAAGAACATCTGAGCCCCAATGAAGGGAAGCCAAGAAGTACAGAGATCATAGGTGGTATATCTATCTGAATCTCACTGAGAAGGATCCAAGACCAAAGAATCTATCAGAGTCCAGAGCTACACAGTCTACTGAGAATTGCCTCTCAATCTGTATCTCAAGTCAGCTGAGCTTATTTTGTGGGAGGCTTTGAAGAGTACCACTACAATATTTCTCCCCCCAGTGTGCTCTCCCTTTTCACGGTTGAAACAGGAATCATTTTCTCTCAGTACTTTCTCAGGAACTTCCAGGGATCTCTACTGTGTGCTGCTCACAGTGTTTGCTGGCTCACAGGCCTTTTAAATACGCCTCATCTTGTACTCAGGAACTCCATCTCACCTCACCCAGACTCAACTTTTCACATGCAATAACAAGATTATATCCCAAATAATAGATGCCCTATCAGTTCCAATATCTGAGGATAAGTAAAAACATATTTTGTTAGTGAGTTTCTTAAGTACTCTCTATATTCTTTATGAATAATATAAAATGTAATGTTTCAGGGCGAACATACCATGGGCAAGCTCTATGGCTCCTTTCACCAATTCTTTAAAAGACGAAATATCTTTCTCCCAATCTGCTGATTGCATTTCACATTTATGTGCCTTGGTGAGATACTGTAGTGACTGCAAAACAATCAATTAATGCAAAATTATAAAAGAATTCCAGTTTAGCTTTATGCACATATTAAACACTGCTCCCAAAAAACTGAACATAACTTTAATATGATGGATTTTCTGAGAGTTAGAAGGGCTCCCTTCTCTGCAACCATTAGCACCAGCTGTAACACAGATGTTCACTGATATTGCCTCTCAAGGATGTCAGGCACATACAATAACACGTGTCTGAAGATCATTTTTATTTTTTAAAAATTTGTCTAGACTGATGGATGTGACCCATGTTTGCCAGGTCAAAATAATTAAAAGCATATCCAAAAGGAAAAACACCTATATTTAATATTTTGAAGCCGTTCTGAACCTAAGGAATATATAGTTAAATACTACAAGGCTTTTTTCCAAAAATATTACCCAATATTATTTTTCTCAGACTGAGTTATTGCTTTGATACTGCATTTATTCCCAAAACCAAACAGAAGTATAGAAAATGAATGTAAACAGTAATCAAGGAAGAATTTTCATAAGCAGGAAACTTGTAATGAAAAACAAATGAGATACCAGTTTATTAAACAAATGTATAAATGAAAGGCAATAACCACCCTTTCAATACAATTTTTGTCCTTAGTATAATAATGGAACAAATAAAGGGAAAGAAAATATCTCAGTTGTAACAGAACCACTGATCACTATGAGTTTATGAAGACCATTTCTTGCCAGACAAATGGGAAAATAAATTGGGGAATAGGAATCCAGTGCTGTACTACAAGGATCTGGTCATATTCAACATCTTCACTATCTGGAAAACAGAATTGTGATACATGAAGTGGGAGGGGGGCAGGAGTAGCTCCCTTTGATGGACACCCAGCTAGCCAGTTAGCTGTAAAATCCCTGTAAAGGGTTAACAAGAAGAGAACAGGTAGTAGATAGAGGAGGCACACAATGGGGAATACAGGTTTCTGTGGGGTTAGTCCCAGAGAGGCAGTGTATAGGGCTGCCTGCAAATGCTTCCTTGCTGACATCTCATTTACCAGACCCAGCAACAAATAGGGGTTGAGTACGTGGGTGTCAGGCAGGAAGGGGAAAAGATCTGAGGCTGGAGGGTTGTGCATGTGTGTGTGTGTTTTCTGAGCCTGGATGTATTTGGAGAGAGAGGGTACTGAGCCATGGAGAGTTTAATCGGAGGTTGTGAGTAGGGTGTGTGTGTGTGCGTGTGTGTGTGTGTGTGCGCGCGTGTGCGCGCACCTTGCTGGGTTGAAAGCTAGATCAGAGGGGTGGAGGTTGGGAGTAGGAGAGAACAATGAACGAGTGACTGAGGGATAAACACCACCATTTGCTATAAAAGGTGTCCGAGTTTTTCATTCTGAAAGTACAGGACTGGCATCTTTTACTTCCCACTTCCCCATCAACCATGTTCTTCCCCCAAAATATGTTTCCTTACCAGTGTCCCTATATTTCACTTTGAAACACCGATTAACATGAAGGAGAGTGTGGTGGATTATTACCTGCCACCTCAGCAACTATTTTGGACACCAGCCATGACCAGAATAGAGAGATAAAATTAGGAAAGGAAAAATTTAGTCTGAATACCAGGAAAATCTTAACAGCAGCCAGATGTATGAGGTTGTGGAGTATTCTCCCAAGGGAACTGCTGGAAGCATCATTGCTTGAGTCTTTTAAACCTCAACTAGAACATTTTCTAGTGTTGTGTTCAAAGGGGACAGATGTGCATTTGCAGGGAGAGGGACAGAATGATCTAATAGGCCTTTTCCCATCTTTATCATCTATGATGCTATAAAAACTGCAAACATTATTTTATATTCTATTCAAGTTCTTTGCTTCTTTCACACTATATGGGTTTTGAAAAACTGCAATAGACAGCTACTTTGATTTAATGCCCAATAGGCACAGGAAAACCTTCTTGGCAGCGAGGAGATGAAATGCTTACTAGTGACCTTTCAAATTTTGTACAATAAAAGTTTTATAAATTGATACTGTAAATTAATTCAAGTTGTGCCTGTAGAGACTTTAATTTCTCAGTTCTCTTTCATGCTCCCTCTACACTAAAATACAGCCATGTCAGGGAACTGACAAAAGGGTACCCTAACTTTTACAAATATGGTTCCAATTTGCACGGTAGACTAGATTTTAACCATGTTTCATAACCAGTCTGTCTCCTCTACATAGTGAAACCACATTTATAACTGGGTTAGGGGAAGACCATGATGTAACCTGGATCCCTGACATGACTACATTTATAGCGTAGACAAGCTCTGAGTTACTTTTTGTGTCTCATTAGTATTTAGGGATGCATTACATGATATTGCAACTTCTGTGCTTCTGAATGCAAAAAGGGCAAAATCATTTTCATTGTTCATCTATAAATGTAAAGGAGAGAGGGAGAATCAGACAAATCAAAGTCAGAGGAAAAGTAAGTGAGGGCTAAAGCATGCAAGTCCACAGTGGAGAGTTTGACGAGAACAGAATAAGGAAGGACAAAGTGACTAGAAGTACGTCACCATGGGTGTGTGAACCACAAGCCCAACAATCTGCATCACGTACTTATCACAGAATATTGAGCAATCTTCCTGCCTGATATTTCTGCCCTGGCCAAGGAGTGCCATTAGAAAAAACATACTGAATGCTGACATTTTAGATTTTCAGGTTCAGTGAAGATCTGATAACCCAGAGCTATTTTGGGAGTGTACATGGGTATGTGAATTTTGGAAACTTAATATCAAATTGTAAAGCACCATCCAGCATGAATAACAAAGTAAGCGCTCCAGTTGTGTAGCAGTTATTTTGGAAATGCAATCACTCTAGCCTCAATTTGTGATCTGAGAGGCTGAGGGAAAGGGGACGACATGAGGATTAGAGGCTAATATTCTATTAGGACAGAGAACTGTACATAGGCCTTGACACTTCAACAGATTAAGAATTAAGTGGAGGAAGTAAACCCACTTTAAGCTACATAGAAACAAGGCATTCTTATTCTGGAATGTGTCCACATGGAGTACTTCAGGACTAGCTGTTTCTGAATTACTGCAATGTAGACAAGCCCTAAATATGCTTCCACACTATGATCCCAGAATTGAGTTTGGTAACTTATGATGACTCAGTGAGCCACTGTTTTCTGGAGGTTGCAGCCTTATCGCCAGAATCTAAGCTTTGAGTTAAAATTAAATCTCTAGCCATTATGGTTGCAAAGAAAACCTTCAAAATATGAACCTAGTGTAACCAACAGATGCTGTAATAGGAAATTTCTTCTTTTGAAGAAGATTAATGTCCAAGTTTAGAATGATAGAATTATGCATATTTAAAAAAACAAACTGATGGAAAATTTAAAAATCTTCCTCCCCCCTAAAGAAAATATATATGTGGAGAAAAAAACCCCAAACAGATAGAATGCCTGCAGCAAAATGCAGGAACCGTGGCAAAGTGTGTGTGTTGTATCTTGCTACAGTAGCTGGTCCACTAGAGGATAACAGCCTTCTACTGCTATAACAAACTCACATTTTAGAAAACAAAAACAAAACAAAAAATAACCTCAACATTTACCTTTTCAGTATCTTCAGGGTTATCACTGTGTCCATTTCCACAGAGTTTTGCATACAGTCTCCAAATTTCCGCATCACCTGTCACTCTTGAAGTCACTCTGCCAAACAGCTCCTGCAATTTCCCCTTCAACCCCGTTGCCATCTCTCCATTGCGATCAGCCATTCCATCCACCACTGCCCTGACCAGAATATTCAGCACCTTAGAAAGCAGTCAGAGAGAGCTTTCATTTATATTCTGATAAACACTAACAAGTTTTGTCTTTTGATATCTCTGTAACATTTGGACTCCAGTATATAGTCACTGATAATTTAGTAAATTACAAAGACTTTACAACACAAAGATGGCAAAATAAGCTTACAAAAATGTTCTTATACAATTATGTGGGATACCAAAAAGTATATTATGAGTGAAGTTTACCCATTTAAACCTCATCTAGACTTTCTGCAAAGGAGTTTTATGGGTGGAGCAAGTATACAGGAGGCGTCTGTCCTCCCTCCAGTGAGCAGTGGTGGAAATTTTGTGCTTTCCCAAAAAAGCTGGTGTGAAGGGGGGCTTTAGGAATAGTCCAGGAGCAGGATGCTGCATGTGAGAAATACAATTTTAGATTATAAGTGGGAGCTGGAGCACCACCTATTATTATGGTTGCCTGACACGTCTCATTATAAGACCCTGTTTTCAAGTACTTGGAACTTAACTGAACTTTTACCATTTTGGCTGAAATTTTCCAAGCTAGGTGTCTGCCTCAGGCTGAATTTACTGGAAGATTTCAACAAATTCAGGGCAGCCATTTCCAAGAACAAAGTTAGGGGAAAATACATTGTTATGCTCATGTTAAAAATTTCTGGCAAACTTTACTTTGAGAATCTCTACTGTCTCCATGCTTTGGAGCAGGGATTTGAAATTTGGCAGGGGATGATCTTCGTGTCAGGGATGTGTCTTTTGTCCAACCTGTGGAAACCTGGAAATTTGTCCAAGTTATAAATCTTTGAAAAATCAACATTTGCATATGCTCAGTGGAGACTTACTAGAGCTTTGCAGCTTAATTCCCTGAAGATTCTGTCGCACTGAGCATACTCCAGCCTAGGGCTGAGCAGGAATTTCTCTGCATTTATAGCTCTTGGACGCTATAGGCTGGGCTGAGGCCAGGCACAGGAGTTGAGAGGAGGTGCTGCTAACGCCACCCTGCTGGGCTGAGACACCAAGGAGTGTGACACCTGGGGTGCTGCCTCATTTGAATGTAGATGGGTCAAGAGTCGGATTAGGGAGGTGGAGAGAGTAGACCAGGATGAAGACTGAGGCTGGGAGACAGGTAGGAAAAAAGGGTGGGGTTGGGGGAGGTGTTGAGTAGACAACCTTAATTTTGGTATTTTCTGACTGCTTGGCATTGCAACCTTTAATAACATTCTTTAACTTAGTTTTTTTCCTTGTATAGTATTAATAAATCATTGAGAATAAATATCAAAGAAATAATGCTAATTGGCATTACCTAACAATAAGATACTTCTTAGATAATAAAATCCTTATTGTGGTTAGGATAGAGGATATTAATCCTGCAAGAAAGCTACATTTATGACTACTCAGAATGATTCACTGATGTACCACTATCATGCTAAAAATTCTGAAAAGCTTAGAACCCTTAAAAATGGAGATGGGTACAGGATATTAAAAACAATAAGTTTAACACATTCTGTGCTATTCATAGTAACTGTTGTATTTATAAGCATCAATAATATTACACATTCCAAACAATTTTACTTTAAGCTAGCCAACAAAAAACATTTATTTTTCATGAAACAGCTAAATGTTTCTATTACAAATATTTTTCTCAACAGTATAATTGGATTACACTGTTTGGTCAAAACCAACAGCAATCAAGTGATTCTCAATTATGTATTTCAAATTCCTGGTCGGTAGCACAGTAAATTTAAAATGAGTGATATTACAAAATAGGTCTACTAAACTATATTGTAATGTAAAAACACTATATTCTATTACTATATCATACTCAATAGTATAAAACAGATAAATAATACATTAAAGTATAGGTTCTACTTGAAAAGGGGCTAAATCATAATCATGTCTTGGTTATATTGCCTGTTAAAAATATTTTTGTTAGAATTGCAAGCTAATTACATCTAAACACCAAAACAGGGTTAGCAATCAAGACACAACTTTCTACTTTCAGAACACAATTTTAATGGTTAAACTTTTATTTAAATGTCCTCTGAGAGAAGTTAAATTGCCATATCCACTAATACTCCACCACATTCAATAGATGTTAAGTTAAAAAGGATCCTGTGCAAGCAACAGCTTTTATTTTCTTATGTCTGTTTAATAAGCTATGCCTCATATGACCACTGTACAAAGCATCTGTGTGTTTAACAGTGCTCCACTATACCAGGATTCCTCCTCCTTTCTCATATCTATTTTTTGACCCACACTAATTTATTAAAAACAAAACAAAAACACAAGAAAAAAAACTACCCTAAAACATCTTAACTGATGTTAGTTTACCTCATTTCACAATTACTATGTTGTACAACAGCTCTTTTCATATAAAAATTCAAACTAGTGAAAACATGTTCAAAAGCTGCACTGATGCTAATCAAAGCTGACAGAGCTCAAGTGAGAAAAGAACCTTCAGATAACAGGCCTCTCACGATAAGTCAGCACTCTGTAAGGCAGCTCTCTGTAAATACACTCATTGCAAATACTTTCCCAAATTAAAGCTTAAAATCAAGGAAGTGATCATTAATGAACAGCTTGAGAGCACAGGTGTGTCTTGAAAATGTTAATCCCCCACCTCCTCATTCAAAATCCCTGTTGGAAAGTGTCCTTACAGAAATACAAGCACAAAAAGCTTTTGCTTCTGCCTCTTATTACAAAACATTCTAGCAGCATGAGCCAGTTGAATGAGGATAATACATAATGGGAAGAGGCAGTAGGAACCTTCACTCTATGCTGTTTCCTGTGTGGGATCCTGTTTTCACATTAAGCCGCGCACAGTGAATTCACATTCACAGACAGTACAGTATGTAGCTTTGATTCTGAAAGCGATGTTGCAAAACATCCCAACAATCAATGCGGCATCTAGTGTCTTTGTTATCCTCAGCATGTTAACATTACAGATAAACACCGACTGCTTGGCTTCAGTGATCTGCATTCTGTAAAAAGTTATGTGATTAACACTTTTGGAAGTCCCTCGGATAACATTCCCATACACACCAGAGGTTAAATCATTGGAGGGAGGCAGATTCTCAGCTGGTGTAAAGACAGTTTACACCAGCTGAGATTCTGGCCCAGGTCTTTTTTTTCCTGGTAAATTGTGACTTAATTATTGGCTAAACCAGGGGTAGGCAATCTATGGCATGTGTGCCGAAGGCGGCACGCGAGCTGATTTTCAGTGGCACTCACACTGCCCGGGTCCTGGCCACTGGTGTGAGGGGCTCTGCATTTTAATTTAATTTTAAATTAAGCTTCTTAAACATTTAAAAAAACCTTATTTACTTCACATACAACAATAGTTTAGTTATATATTATAGACTTATAGAAAGAGCCCTTCTAAAAATGTTAAAATGTATTACTGGTACGCGAAACCTTAAATTAGAGTGAATAAATGAAGACTCGGCACCCCACTTCTGAAAGGTTGCTGACTCCTGGGCTAAACTGTACTCACATACAGGCACGAACCTAAAAAACTTGCCAATTGGCTTCTAAAAAGGTGCCAGAGTCTCTCCTTCAATATTTTTTCTTCAACCATCTAATATCTAGGTGCCAAGATTGACAGGCCTAGTGACTGAAGTCCTCCTTTTAGACACAGAGAAGTTATAGTCTGGGTAGCAATCATGCAGATTTCACAGTCTCTCTCATCAATATGTTCCAACCACTTTTTTCTGATTAACATGCTTTAAAATGTAGACATTGTAAATGTAAGTGTTCATATCACAAAGCTGAGAAGGATCTGTAGGCTAAGGAGAAAGAGAGGGAGTTTTCTTACATATGAAAGACAGTGTTGTTCACTTTTAACAATATATCTATTTAATAACATCACTATAAAAAGTCCAGAGTGTTAGCTTAGACACGTGATCCATGCAAAGATCAATTATTGTTAATGGGACACATCTCAGTTTTTTCCTCAGATCATTTTTATTTTATATATGGGACTGATTATTAATATTTTTCCCTTTAGAATTTTGCCTGTAGCATCCGTATGTGTATACATTCAACTTCACAATATCCTACAGCCTATCATATTTCCTGCCATGAAGGGGTCTGTGATATCATTAGATAACTAGAATAAACTCAGAACCATAATTTCCCACAATTACATTTTGTGGTCACAAATCCAAAACAGAAAAGCAATGACCTAACATACAAATAGAAAACATATTATAATTCAATTACAAACTCCTTTACAGAGTTAATAAAATTGTATTAGTTTAAAAACATCTTTGAATACTATGGTGAAATAATATTAAGAATCTGACCACAGCATACAAAACCAGGGATATTCTAAATTACTTCCATTATACACTACTAATTTGGTACATTTAGTTTTGTATCAGAGGATCCTAGAACAATGGGCTATGAAGCAGAGCATGGGTAATTTTTTATTTATGGGTCATAAGGGTTTGTACTGTTAATGTGTTGGGCACTATTTGTATATCCATCCTCCTAGTTTAGGTTGTTACCTAATACTGATTTAACCAAAGTTTTTATGTTCTTCCCCCTCTCTTTCTTGACATGTCAACTAGTACAGCAGTTAATAAAATAATATCAGAGCTGCTGAATATATCTAGCAAGAAGATCAAGTTGCACTGGCACGGAAAGAGGCATGTGATAGACACACCAATTTCCACTTAGCCATGTGTATGGTTTACTTAGGTGTCTATTATCAGGTATGCTGCTAATCCATTGCAGGGGAGTTGAAGTGTCAGAGGGAAGGAAAAGAACGAATGCTGATGTCAGGCTGCAAGGTGGGATGGTAGATAGTCTAGGGCACTGACTTTCTGGAAATATTGAACAGGCTGAGTTTCATCTAAGAACCATAACTTAACTATTTAGTTTTATCTATTCATTGTTAGCTACTAGAGTATTCTGTTCCTCCCTAAACAATTATTAATACAAGCCTTCCTGGAATCCTTAATCAGATTTTGGGCTTATTCATAACCATGTATCAAAATCCCTCAAATTGCATATAGCTATATTAAAGAGAACATGCAGAAACTTGGAAGGCTTTTTAAGGTCCATCTCTACTGGGACATCTTGAACAAAAACTCAGGACATTTAACATCAATACAGTCCTAAACAAAGTGTGTGATTAAAAACTGTATGGAAAAATAGAACAGAAAGGAGAATTATGCAACAAAAGAGGAAAATTATTCTAAGCAATATGCAAAAAGCTTAACTGAATATCCAATAAAAAATCCTAAAAGAACACCCTTGATGATGAAAGGAGCACATACTAGCTCAGAATACGTGAACTGTCACAGCAGAAAAGGCAAATTTGTTCACGTTATTTTACTTCTTGTAGGCTAACGACAATCTGACCAACTAAAATGATATTAGAATCATTTCTGGAGTGCATTGTGTAACATAACTATTATTTGAATCAGTAATTCAAAAAGGCACTTCCTAACCAGAAAAATCTACACTGTGTCCCCATGAATAAACATGATTCCTTCCTAATGACAGCATTGTAGCTGCCAATAGACTAATCCTGACCACATGGAAAACTACTGATGTTTCCACAGACATTGATTTGTGATTGAAATACACTAGAGAGCTTTAAACCCTTTTCAATTTTAACTATCTCAAATTTGATTGATTTTGCTCATATGGAACAACAGGCTGACTTGGTTGTGGTGGTTTTTATACAAGTGATTAATACTAATACTTGAGCATTCTTGGTAAAAAGTAAACTGAAAAAGAAAAAGAGCAAGCGAGATGCCTTTGACAGTCATAGTACAGTGTATTCCTTACATCTCCTGATCAAACTCAACGTTTGCCAGGGATATAAAGCACATCTAATACATAAAAACAAATATTAGCCTTCATTTACTACAGTGAAAGGCATATGAAGTTCATCCATTACATTTTCATAGTATTGGATTATGTAGATTTAATACTGCAATTACATATTTTTCAGTACGTGAAATTTAATTCATTTGTAAAGGTTTGGTTGTATAAGATATACATTTTCAAATTTATGGAGGAAAATCATAACCTTACTACAGCTGTAAGGTCTAAAACAATCTGTATTAATGTTTACAGTGAGATACATAAGAGTGTATGAAAAATGAAATAATCCCCAACAGTTCAATTTAGGGATGGACCTGACCAGCAAACTCTAAATTTATTCTTCCCCAAAGCCTGGGGATGTTGGAATTCAGGGTATTGTTTTGGTCTCTTCTCCAATTTAAATTATTTCTCTTTACAATCAAAGTCTCATAATGAAGTATACTTTCATTGTAAAGTATGCTATTGTTATTGAAATGTACTTGATAATGATGCAAATAATTTCTACAAGAAAAATGAATGTATATGAACATGTAAAAAGCATAAAAAGAAATCCATCCCACCTGCACATCTTTGTACTTTTCTTGTAAATCCATGAGCCGGTGATAAGCTTTAATTGCTTCTGAAAACTCTCCAATGTCTGTACTGGTAACAAGGTAATTCTCCCAAATCTGCCAGTGTTCATAGTTACACTTGAGAGCTTCTTGGAGAGTGCGAAATGCTTGGATTCTAGTTAAGAATAAAAACAAAAGATTCGACATATAACATATTAAAAGCATTCTGTGTTTACTTAAAGGCTACATAATTCATGAACATAGTTTGAAAACAGATGAAACGTTAAGATTAGTTGCTCAGAATTTACACGAAAGCCTGAGAATCCCTTTCTTTCATGCCCTTCTGCTCAAACCAGTTGATTACATAGCTCACTATCTCATATGTGTTCTGAGATATCTTTCTCTCTCTCAGTGATACCAGTTGGCCTTAGTGAAGATGACCTAGTTGTTGGCCTTCCTGCAATAGTTCGTCCTCTATTATCGTTCTGGTGATATATATTGAGTCAGTGGTCCTTTACCACTTTCAAATCCTTTCTCCCTGGGACAGCAACATAAGTAGACTATTGATTTGCTTCCTGAATACTCAGAAACCTCAGCTGTTAATAAATAAGCTGTTTTGCAGGACCTATTTGTTGTCCACCTTCTTTTGAAAAGACATTGAGCTAGCCCTTAAATTCAGTAACCACAGATAATGAAAAATACTCCATTAATCTCCCCTTACACATAACCCACAAAAGAAAAACCACATAATTTACTGTAGTAAGTTGTCTGCAAACACTTGATCAGATCATATAAGGTTTTAATCAAGAAGCAAAAAAATATAATTGTCATTAATCAACACAATTTATTGTGATAAATACAACCTTGGCCCTTTCCAATTAACAGGAATGAAAGACACCTAGTATAATGGACAGACCTTTTACTATTGTTTGTTATGCATATAAAGAAAATATTACAATAAATATAACCATTGTATAGGAAAAAAACAGAAAGCAGGTGTTTATTTAATCACTTCAGTAAATGTAAATGCTGTTACATTTTGGCAAAATAAAAAACTGTCATTCTTATTGCTTGGTAACTTTTTCTTGTTTTTAAAAAAGAACACAGTAGATTAAGAGATTCCAAAGCCAGAGGGACACTAGATCATCTAGTCTGACCTTCTGTATAAAACACAGGCCATAGAACTTCACCAAAATAATTGTTTCCACTGTTATTTTAAATGCACCTTTGGGTTTAAATCTCCTCATACAGTTTGGCCATATGAATTGATATTTTCAATCTTGAATCTGAATTCTGCCAACAAATGATGACAACGCAATTAACCTCTCGCTGCAGTTGTAATCGATTTTTGAAAAATAAAATAGTTTTTTAATGCTGAGTTATTACAGTGGAAAGAAAAATGAAAATGATGATTCAATTCACAGCACATCAAAAATATTTTCCAACACTTAATATTTTTGTCTATATTAAGGATATAAAATACTTTGCAATTTTGGCAAGAGTTTTTCTTGATACCATAAAATTGAAGTCAAAGTAAAGAAAGTAAAGTAGACCGCATCGCTCAATAGTGCCTTTGCCCTATGCTGTAAACGGGCAGGTGGAAATCATTCTGATGAAGCATACTTCTAATTATTAGGCATAGGACAACACATACAGCCCTTGAAGTGCCATAGCATGTTTTGTAGGTTGAGAAGTAGGAGTCAAACACTAACATTTGCTGATTGGAAGAGGAAACATTTTGAATTAATCTACTTCTGAATTAAAACAGTGCATTCTGAGTGACTGCATAACCACACTATCTTGTGAACAGGTAACAAGTTGTCCTTTTTAGCATTCAACTGGGATAATGAATAAATAAGTAATTGTCTGATTCAATCTTCCTGATTTTGATAACTGATTGTGAAGTTCCTTCAAGACACTTCCACGAAGGCACCAGGAACTGAAGAAAAGGACATTTGGTCAAACTGTTTATTTCTATTCCTCGTTTCAGCCTGGGTAGTCATTCTACCTCTTGCTTTCTTCTCTTCGTCTCTCCATAAATATGTCTAAACGTCTCAGACTTATTTATAGAATTTGCTACAATGCATTTTCATGGCAATTTATTTCATGTGTTTACCACTTTGTGTGAACTCACTGTTCTTCTTCTCATTTTTATTTCATTTCATGAAAGCTAAACCACATAAATTGTTCACAATGTCAGTTTTTAAAACAAAACCCTGGCAATTTCAATATACCCATATTTTCATGCTTCTACTTTTCACTCTAAAGTTTTATTCTTTTTTGGTAGAAAATATAATGGGACACAGTCCAAGTACAGAGTATTATCTTAATTAAATTGTTCTTCAATATTAAGCCCTTGCAAGAACATTACCAAAAGGTATCTATGGGAACTTTAATATTACAACAAGTCAAAATACAGAAATAAGAAATTAGTCTGCTTTGAGTCTGGGTTTCCTCTATTAATGGTTAATTTGGAGGGAAAAGAACAAGCAGACTATTATGCATATGAATCTCCATCTGCTTTTATGATATGAATAGTAAACTACTTCTTGTTCCCTCAAATCTCATGAGCTGAATATAGGATGAATCAATACAGGTTTGACTATATCCTCTGTTTTAAAATGGACATCTTTTTTTGGCTTCACAGTCCAATTAATTTCCATTTCTAGTATGAATAATTTTGATTCGTTTGTACTTAGTGTATAATAAGTGATGAATTATGAATTTGAAAATATCAGCTCCAAATTATTGCTCTCTTTACAAAGCTAATTAAATATATTTTTCTCCAATTGAAAGGGGATTAATTGCTAATTAGTATCACTGTAGGAAACCTACTGGGAGACTAGACTGAAGGGTAGAGGACTAGCATTAATGAGTAAACCACATCGTGAGAATAATATCTCAGTGTTAGGAGAAAGGAAATCAGAAATATTTATTTTGGAAGCAGTATTCTCTAAACCTTTTGAAATACTTACTTCTGTTTCAATCTGATATATGCAGTTGATAAATTGTTCCAGGCCTCAGCATTCTGCAATTACAACAGAGGAAGCACTTAACAAAATCAAAGACATTCCACTTATTTGGGAAAAATCATTTGAATAAAACATAAAATTATAAAAGATTTACATGACCAATTTTCCTTCTTATATACATACATTAATAAATGCACATGCATATTAAATATTAAGGTGGCAAGAACATTAATTAAAAATATAAAATTTGCCTGGTAACTAAAGAAAATGATAGCAACAATCAAAAATAAGAGAAATGGTTAAATTGTAAATGGTTAAATTAATTCTGTTCTGGCATTGAATATATTGAGTCTGATTCTCCTTTCACTTACACTGATGAAAAACTGGAGTAACTCCACTGAAGTCAGAGGAGTGACAATGGTGTAAACCCAAAACAAGAACAGAACCAGAATATTTCAATGAAATTAACTTCGGGGCTGAGGGTAACAGACTTATGGACCACTGAAGGCCTCAGTGTTTTGCAGGCTTAGTTTAGACTTAACTAGTGTAACGGCCTACTGTGACTAAGAGTATGTCTACACTACGAGTGCTATTGTGGCACAACTGCACTGCTGCAGCTACACTGTTGTAGCGCTGTACTGAAGACACTTGCTATAGAGATGGAAAGGGTTTTTCGGTTGCTGTAGTAAATCAACCACCGGAGAGGAGATAGCTAGGTCTACAGAAGAATTCTTCCATTGATGTAGCGGTGTCTACACCGGGGCTTAAGGACAGGCTAATTACGTTTCTCAGGGGATATAAATTTTTCATACCTCTGAACAACATAGCTAGGTCAACCTAAATTTTAGGTGTAGACCAGGACTAAGAGCCCAATCCTGCATCCTTTACTCACATAAATCCCATTTAAGCCATTAGGAAATCAACTTGTCTATTCCTGTGAATACAGACAGGACTGAGTTGTACCAAACAAGTTGGAATGATTTCCATAAAAAGTTGGTTTTAATTTACAGTTTAACAATTCATATTCATGGATACAAGAAAATGCACAACTGAGTTATATTTCAGATTACACTGAAATAATTTGTTTTTTAAATTTAATTTTTTTTTTAGTAAAAATAAATGAATACCATCAATATACTTCTCTTGAAGCAGGGAAGATGAGATAGAGGTTTCTACTCCTCAGGCCAGACCCGCTGATAGAACAGTACAGGCCAACATACCCTTGTGCAGACTCAAAGCATTCTTCCCTACATCACTTACACACAAAAAACAAAGGGAGTATAATCCTGCTGGCATCCTGTGAGCCTGGCAATGGTGGACACACACCTGCATGATGCACCCCTGTAAAGGTGGATCCCAAACACCTCCCAGTTTGTGGGAGACTGAGTTCAATCTCAAATTTAGTCCCAAAGGCCAATTATCTGCCATTTCTTTAGTGAGTGTTTCTAACTGAGATTAGTTTGCCACTTCCACAGAAAGATTAATTAAGCAGCACAGCTGACTGAAGAGTGCAGGAGGCTTCTTTAAAGTCTAGAGTGGACTAAGCATTTTAACAAATTATCTGTTTAATAATATGCTCCTTCACTTCTAATTTTTTAATCAAAAAGAACTTGTGCATTATCTGCTTTATTTTAATGCTGTATGACACCATAAAGGACGTACGTACGTACGTGTGTGTGTGTGTGCGTGCGTGCATGCAAAATAGAAAAGTCAAGTATCAAGCAAATCTTTTTGTGATGCTAAATGAGAAAATACATCCTTTATGAACAGGGTAAAAATTGAACAACTAGAACTAAGGCATGAATCACATTTGGGGGGGGGGGGGCGTCACTGGTTGCTTTCACAAACTATCAGATGAGCAAAGATAAATCTTCAATAAATTGTACATACTTCAGGTTCCAACATCACACAGCGCTGAAATGCTCTGGCAGCACCGTCATAGCCTTCCAAAGCTAAATAGGCACAGCCCAAAGAAAACCACACACCCAACTGAAAAGAAAACAAAGAGAAAGAGAATTCAGTATGTATGTTCTGCACAAAAGAAATTAGTTAAGATTCCTCCATGCTCAAATCCATACATTTCTTGATATTATAGGGCATTGCGCTATATGTAAGGCCCTTCACTTCCAGTTTTTATTTTGTTTAGAATTTTTTTAGTGTTTATTACATTATTTGAAAAATGGGTGAAAATTAACTTCACAGTTTTCTGGATAATTATTGGGGTTAATGTTGGAGGACAGGGGAGAGGGAAAAAACAGAGAAAACTAAGTAGTGAAAGCAAAATAAGTTTACTGATGTGATTAATTTTTTTCTTTTAAAAACAATTTACAGTTGTGATGCTTGAGATAAAGGGTGTCAGTGTAAATACGAAAGTTCTGGGTAGAATAGGCTTTCAGCAGTTTTTTCAAAATGTCTGTTCAAAAGTTCATTCTTTTGCAGTCTTGGATGTACCTGAATTTAGAACAATATTCTTTCCACATCAGCTGAGCTAGGCAGGACACTGAAGATGAGGGAAGCAGCATAGCTCGAATCTGGGAAGTAGGTGTGGTGAATTTCTCAGAATTCAAATAGAATGGTGCCGCGATTGGCTGGAGAAGGTATCACCATGTAAGCATGGAGTTTGCTTTTCAGGTTAGCCCTTTCTTCATTAAATGTATATCAGAGACCACATTATTACAATGGTGATCAAACAGCACAACAATTTTCCGGAATGTTAATTCGTTCTTAAAAGCCTCAGGGGACACGAGTGACATAGCTTTGCATGAAAATTTTGGAAAGCCTTTCTGAATATTGCTCCCTGACTGGCGAAATGGACATGAAAGGATTTAGTTTTTTTCTAGAATCTCTCCAGATGTGCTTTTGTGCAAAGTTCTGCAGTGACACTGTTGACCAGAGTGCCATACGCTTCTGTGTTAGAGAATGTTGTGTCTGCTGAAGAACAAGATTCCAATTTCTTTTATACTTCATACAATGACTGAAGGGTTTTGATCAAAATTTGAGTTTTGTGCAAAGGATTTGCCTAGTTTCTTGAGTAGCTGCTTGAATTTTCAGCTTTTGCACTGCTGAACTCTTCATAATCTTACAGCTGAATGAGGACACTCCATGCCTTCTGAACACTCTGTACAACTAACTATCAGCTACACCATCTTTTCAGTACAACGGCAATCGGAAGGCTGCATTCAAATTTGTTATCTTTGCAGACATCACAGAAGATATTTTTCATTTTACTGGAATACCAAAAAATAGCACTAGCTTCAATTAACAACTTCCTTAAATTAGCCATTTCTGGAATACCCACTGCATGAGAGAGCAATGTACAGTAAATGACCTTGGCAAGACAAACAAAGCAATTTAGGTTTTTCATTCAGCTTTACTTCCTGTGTTACCTTCATGCAGTAAGAGGCAGAGCAGAGCAAATATGACTTGGTCAGGTTGATTGAATTTGGCAGGAATTTTCACAGCCAGGCAGAACTTTCAGACAGAATCTCCCAAAAGACCATCACCAAGGCCTAACTGTTGCCCTGAGAAGTACAGGACACAGAGAAATTCACTTATTACTCATGTCAATCTTGATTTTTCTTCCATGCCTGTGTGAATATTGCTTCCAATGTACATTTATTTCTGTTTTTGCTTTCTTCTCTTAGCCTTAAATGTAGTTTGCTTTCCAAACATTCTTTAATCTGGTGTGCCCAGGTTTCAACTTCTATGGCACAACATGGACAGTGCAAACATTCAGACTCACTCTTGTTCTGCTTTTCTTTTTTAAAACGTAAGGTTTTTTTTTATATTCTGAAAAAGTCGAGATGTAGTTTTTCGGTTTTGATCAATGAAAAGTGGAAGTAGTTCACACTGTGAACTGATGCTTAAATGAGGCCTTCTCTTCACACAATTTAAGTACACAGGGCAGAGAAATTCAAATGTGTCTCAGAAAAGGCCTACTCCAGCAACTAAAATGGATTGCTATCACGGAGAGAACAGATGGTAGGTGAGGGGTGACTAATATTCTTGGAGGAGCAGTGGGCGGGGGGCAGAGAGTACCTAGCAGATGAGGTGTGTATGGTACTCTCTAGGTACAGTGTGTGGGGGGTGTCTGGCAGAGGAGGTGGTGCCCAACATTCACAGGGGCCCATGGATGGAGGAGGGGTACACAGTATTTCCGGGGGCTGCAGAAGGGCCACTATCCTCCCTTTCCACATGACATGCTCTCAGAAGAGCTGGGATCAGGTAGGGACTGTGTCTATATGATATTTAGATAATCAGATATAACTTTGTATTACAATAAGTAATATCTTCCAAACAAAATATGGAGCAAATTTTTGTCCAAAGTTTTTAACAATCATGGATATACAAAAGTATAAAATATATGGGAATTGCTTCATTCTCCACACAAGGTTTGCGCTTACAGTGTACAGCACCAATGCACACTCGTTTAGAAAAGCAGGTGAATAACACTCAAAAAGGTTTGCCTCTTTTGTTGTATTTTGTGAGAAAATTATGTTCATTTTTGGGTCCTGGCTATAAATATCATTGTTAACGGTAGAAAATTTGTTTTGCAGTACAAATTACATTTTCTACATTAAAATTTCAGATAATTAAAAATGAATTATAGCTGCAAAACCTATGATGTTACAATATTAAATTTCCCCACTAATTATAATTAAAAAAAACCCTAAGATTTTTAGAGAGAGAAAACTGCCCAAATAATGTGTTTGGTTTTTTTGTTTTGAATGCAGCAAACTTTTGTTGATAAGCTTCAACTAGCATTACCTACAAACACACCTCTAATCCTTTTTTGTGCAATAATTAGATGTTGAGGCACTGCTTAAGCGAGTAAAGACACTCCTGAACCCTGAGAATATGTATGCGGGTATGTACCCCACAGGGGTCTCTACTCACCCAAGCAGTGCCTCCCTTGTCTATACTGCTATTTTTACCAGTGTAGTGTCCCGCTGCTGGAGTCTTTCCCCACCGCAGGGAAAGGTTCCAGCAGTGGGAAAACTCTGTCAGCAACCTGCTGTCTGAGCCTTTCCCTGCCACAGGGAAAGACTGCAGCAGCAGGGAAACGCTCCCCCGATGCCACCCCACTGCCAGATCCTTTCACTGACAGGTAGCTACACACCACAGTGTCGGCGCAGTTTGATTTTCACTGCGGCATGCATCTACTCATACCCTATATGACGCCAAGAGATGTGCAGTATAGATTTAGTCTTTAAAAAGCAAAGAAGTGAATGCTCTTGCTAATGTCTGAGTTGGTCAAACAGTAACTTTTCCAACAGCAACAAGTTAAGATAAACAGTACTATATCATCATAGGACCTAACCACACCAGCCATACCGTCAGGGGCTCGTTCACCTGCACATCTACCAATGTGATATATGCCATCATGTGCCA